TTAAAAATTATTTTTTTATTTTGTACAAACAAAATAAATATATTGAAAAATATAAAAACAATAAAAAATTATACTTCAGAAGTTAATTTAGTATCAAAAACGTAAAATATTTGAGTAGCCCAAGACATAGCCAAAGATTACAGCGCCATAGCACTGGCGAAAATATAAATTTGCCGACTGGAATTCTTCCAGATAATTGATACTCTACTGTACTATTATTTGCAAAAAAAATTGCATGAAAACATAAAACAGTAAGGCTGTTCAGTTAGAATAAATCTGTCAAAAAAAAAAAAAATTAATACAGTATACTTCCAATTATCCAACCACAAGTATTTTATTATTATTATTTTTTTAATATATTGCAATGTATGTATTGATATTCTCTCTAATTTGTTAGATCTACAATGTATACCATACACACCTAATCCTAATTCAATAACAGTTGGGCAGTAAAATATCACATTTATTTATTGAAATATTTAATTGAAAATATTACTGGAAGTTTGGTAGATTTCCTGTATACATTCATAGCTGAAAAATTACATTTCTATTTTATTTAAATTAATGAACTGATTTCATTTTCTAGATATATTTTTCGTCTGGGGTCTATTAGTGTTACTTCTAAATGAAGTTCCTAAAGATGCTTAACTATCATCATATTTTGTATCAACTATAGTATTAAATTAATAGACGAATAAAACACTTATGTTTGTTTTGACAGTCCTTCAGCAAATATTTTAATTTATATCAATAAATTTTCAAGATATAATTAACTGAATTAAAATAACTACATTTTGAATTTTAAATTAGTTAAAAACCCACTAAAGATACAGGATATATTTAAAATTTTCCAATTTATAACATACCTGTGCTTCACAATGGTTACAAGATGTACAAGTACCAGGTTTACTCAGAATCATACCACGTCTAACATCATCTCTCTTAATTCCACGGATCAATGCTCCTAATTGATCTCCTGCTTGTGCTTCATCCAGAGTTTTATGGTATGTTTCAATACCTAATACATATTTTAAAACATAGTATAATCCACAAAATTATAAAAGCTATATTATATATCAAGATTTTTCTATATTTACAATGATGGTAATTTCTTGTGTAGAAGCATTTTAATATTCATTATAAAACATTTGTAGTTTTAATAATAATCACCTATTATATTGTCCTATTAGAAGTCTATATTTATCTTTTTATTCATTTTTTGGTTAAAATTGTCCTAATAGAAGACCTATGGTAACACATTTTTGTATTGAGAAATTCTTATTTTAATATATAGTACAATGCATTCTAAGGAAATTTAAGTCTTTTTTAAATACTAATGACCACTACCTTTTTCCTAATTGATGCTAAATGTATTGTAGAACTAAAATATAAATTTTCGTCTACAAGTATGTATCTTCTAATATCAGGACTTATTATACTGGCTTTACAGATAATGCTACAGAGTTTCACAGAAAACAATTTTTTATTTTATTTAATTTATTTAATAAACAGTATTGTAGAACTGTTTATAGCTCCAGCAGTTACTGAATTTGCTGTAACTTTTCCAATAAAGGAGAGGAGAGAATTGCAATCCAATATTTTTATCAATCTGTATTATAGCTTTATCTATATATATATAGGATAGGATTAACAGTACAAGTAACAAAGTTTTTAAAATGTGCATCATGTGTAGTTTNTAACTTCTAAAGTATAATTTTTTTGTTTTTATATTTTTCAATATATTTATTTTGTTTGTAAAAAATAAAGAAATAATTTTTAATGATACAATAGCCATGATTATTATTTTAAAAAATTTACATTAGGCTTAACATCGACGAAAGTTCAATGTGAAGCAACACGCAACGGAGAAAAATTTCAGCACAGGATAGGTTAATATATTTTTTCGTACATAATCGGTTATCCAAAAAGTAAGTTATCCAAACTACCCCAGTCCCCAATTGATTCGGATAAACAACGTTCTACTGTAAATTATTGAGAAATGTCTTGATAAAGTGAAATTTATGCTACAGAAAAATTTGAGAAAATTGGGTATTAAACTTGTTAACTCTAAATTCTTTAAGGGGTAAAAACAAAAAAAAAAAAAAACCAACTTTTAGTTAAACTTTGACTTAACAAAGTTTCACTGTATGTAGAGAGCAATCTTTCAATAAGCACAACATAAATCATGTGTAAAATGAAGATTTATTACTCAAATAATCCCAAAAGTACTCAAAATATATATGTTTAACAAATTTTGTATAATTTATTTCTGCATAAAATCTGAAATGAATTCTTTTTCCTAAATAATTCAATATGGAGTTTTTATAATTTTACAATATTCAATTTTCAAGAAAGAGCAAAGGATAACTCAGAATTATGCAGTACT